CCTTAAGAATTTGAACAATTATTGTCGCTGCAGTTGGGTCTTCTACCCCGACTAACTTATGTACGTAACCGATAGCGGAAACGTAAGTGGTCACTGATGAGGAAGCATAGTGAAGAGAAAACAAGTGTGATATAAAGAGAGCTAAAACAGCTGGTTGCACTGGCAGTGAAATAACCGAGGTACCTAGATACTGAGCAGCCCAAGTAGTGAGCAAAGTCCAAGGCCGTCTGTAAACTCTAGCCGAGGCGCTGTTTAAACTGGCAGCTAAAGGTTTCTTAGTTATATCCCTCAGTTCTGTGGTAACAGATGGGGAGGCACGATTGTCGGTTCTTGGTCCGCATCTTGGTCGAGGGACTTGAATTTGTCCACCTGCAACCGCGATAAGGCGTCAGCTTTCGTATTTAAAATCCCGGGCAGGTGGATTGCTCTGAATAGACTATTATGTCTCAAGTAGGACAAAACCAGGGCGCGGACAAGAACCAAGAGCTCCCTGTCCTTTGTTGTTTTCTTATTTATAACCTCCGCTAGCGCCTCATTGTCAGTATGAAACATGAAACATCTATTGGCTAAGTTATCCGCCCAGATTCGGACGCTAAGTACAATCGGAAACATTTCAAGTACTATGATATTCTTAGATTTCCATTTGACGGGCCATTCGCCCACTTATCTCCAAAAACGGCACCATAACCTAAAGATCGGGAAGAATCCGTGCACAAATGTAACGTTACTGAGGAAACCCAAATGAAATCTAAAAAGAATGATTTGCCATTAAAGTGATTGAGAAACTGTAACCACATGTTAAGATCTCCTTCACGTCACGTTTTAAACGAATTAAGTAGGTTGGGCGACGTATACCCACAGTGACGTTAATCATACGTCTAAGAAAAGTCCGACCTGGTAGAACTACTGAGCAGGTGAAGCTCAATAAACCAATAAGAGATTGCATTTCTCGAAGAGAAACCTTTCTACGCTTTAAAAAGTCTTGCAACATGTTCCTACATTTCTCTAACTTATCGTGTGGAAGACGAGCTTCCATTTGATGTGTATCAAGCTCAATACCCGCGAAAGATAAAACAATATGCGGACCTACGAGTTTTTCAGGTGCCATTGGAACTCCTAGCTCATCACAAGTCTTAAGAAATTTAGAGAGACTATTGGAGCAAGTCGAACGGTCGGGCTCAATAATAAGGAAATCATCTAACATATGTAAAATACCCGGAATTCCTAATTTATGTCGGGCAATCCACTCTAAAGCTGAACTGAATGTTTCAAAAATCTTACAGAAGCTTGCACACCCCATAGGGAGGCATCGATCATAATAGCATCGTCTATTGATGCGTAATGAACGCTAGACGCGATTTTAGGAATGTGAGAGTTAACAGATTTACCAAATGGAAAAGACAGGTGATAAATTAAGCGATATTCTCAAGGCGTTTTCTTAGGAATCAGACCTAAAGGCGAGATGCGCAAAGACGGAAGACGCCGTGTGTTAAATGGCCCTACCATACGACCTAAATTTATTCCTTATTGAGCTTTTCATTTGCAGCGTCGGGATTTTGAAGTGCTGACAACAGATTAATGCAAGTGGCCGTTTCTCTAGGTCCAACATAATCAAGTGAAAAACCGTTTAGAAATCCATTAATAAGATATTGTTTCGAAGTTACAGGATAATTAGCTAAGTAAACACTTAATTCATTTACCCGTATTGGTGTTGGTAGAGGTGTTGGCTGGGACTGTGCGTGAGGCAGCAGCTGGAGGTTTTGAAGAACGACATTTAGATGCTGGGTGTGCGGCACCGCATTTAAAACATTCGTGTTTGAAATTACACCCAAAACACTTGTCCCCTTGTTGAAATTTCCAGCAGAAGCCTCTCAGAAAGGGCTGTTTAATAGGCCTAGCACTAGAGCTACCCGACATGGCGGTCTGTGATGAATTCCGGTTCGTGTGGTGCGCCTGCAACCACAATTCCCAGTGGATATCGTCCCATGGAAAAAGTGACTTCTGCATTAAATACCGAAAATTTTCGTCGTAGTATTTCCAGTGGGCATTTTTAGCTGCTAAATAACGCACCGTTGCACTATATTTCATTAAAGCCGGGGCGCTCTCAGGAAAGCGAACCGTATATATTGCAACAAATATTTGAAAGGCAGAAGTCCAGTGATCTATTGTGGTGATACGCTCAGTATTCTGGACAGACTCGAGAGTAAAAATCGGCTGGTTTGACGTGGCTGGTGTTTTGACAGTAAAATTGTATTTTGGGTCACCCGGGATAGAAGAACACTGACTATCGAGCTCGACATACTCATTGGCCCAAATTTTGGCTTGAATTTTTTCAGGCACCCGACTCGCTAAGGGAACGCAAATCAATTTATGTCCCTATTGTGGCCGGTTGTTACCATCGAGAGTGTCAAGGTGATTACGATTCAAAATATCATGACCCTCACCAGTTAAATTGTCTACTACATCAGCAACTGACTCCTGTACAGCTGCAACAGTCTGGGATGTATTCTGCGCCACGTTGATGTTGGTACTGGGGAAGATACCGGCATCAGTAAGACCCTTGATCACTGCCGCTGAAATCGTCGATGTCAAGGCGGGGATGGAAGAACCTGAAGGGATATTTGGAACGCTAGAACTGGATGCGGCCGGGGTCCCAATATCAACACTGGGTACAGTTTGTGGAGGTGCTAATGGCTGACGCTGTAGCTGGCTGGGATGAGAACCGTTCAGGCTGTTAATCCCT